ATCAAAGTTGGATCAGCCTGTAGTGTTTTTTTCCACTTTAATTTTGAGTGTAACTCCAGATCCAGACCTCCATGGGTTGCTAAATTTGATTTCCATTGATAATTTTTGTGTGATTTTGTTGTCAGCACATTCAACTATGTAATGAACAAAGTATTTAATAAGAATATTTCACTCATTCAGATCTAGGATGTCTTATTTTTGTGTTCCCTTTATTTTTTTGAGCAGTGTATATAACAATATTGAAAAATTTCCTAAACTCTGTTGATACTATTAATATATTACATATTTTCCAAAAATAGGAACTAAATCTTATTTTTTGAAATTTAAAACATGCTTTCATTTTATCCAGTGGCTGATCTGATAAGTCCTAATCAGCTTTTAGATCGGGGGTCGCCAACCTTTTGCACCTCAGGGACCACCAAATTTTAAATCCCGCAGACCACTAATATGAATTTTGACTGGTGGTGGCTTGCTGACATGGTGGGAAAGTCGGTCCTATATTCCAGAGCTGCAGTAGTCACAGGACTGGCCCTTTGGTCATCCCGGAGCAGCTTCTCCTCCACCTGGGTGCACCGGCCTGCCATGGACTGGAGGAGCTCCTCCGGGATGACCAAAGGGCCAATCTTCTGACTACTGCAGTTCTGGAATATGGGACTGACTTTCCCACCAACGTCAGCAAGTCACCCCAGGGCAGATTTCCCTCCCCACTTGGTCTTACCTTCCAGTTTCAGCTCGCGTGACTCTACTCAAGGTAAGGTTTGCGCTCGGCCAAAGGGTGGGGGCCAGAGGATAGACAGGCCATGTGGATGGCGCAGCCTTGTGTTCCCGAGCAATCTGGATTGCTTTGGGGGGAGTGCTTTGGGGGGGGGACATTTCTCTGCGGACCACCGAAATTTTCTCACAGTTGGTAACCAATGGTTTAGATAGTAGACAACAGCAGAATTTCAGCGCTGTTGGCTAGATTGGAAAAGTCCTAAAACATCCTGAAAGCACAGTAACCCACTTTCTTACTGTTGGAAGAATAACTGTGCAAATAGTTACCAAGAACTCAACTTGAGAGTATTGTTACTTTTACCATATTAATAAGAATTTTACAAATCTCCAGTCATCCCATACAACATACACATACTAACCTTGAGCTGTATCTTTTGAGGATGGATTCTAAAACATTTATCAGTTCCTCAGAGTTTATATACTTTTGAGTACTGAGGCTGTACATTTTTTCATAAAAGTCAGCAATTTCCATCCGAGCCTGGACAAAGAAGCAGAGCTGCTCAGAAAGATGAGAGAGTAGTTCTTCAAGGTGAGGAGCTGTTCCTCCCACTGCATTCCGACCAGTTGCTACCACCTTCTTTAGCTCATTATGCAGAGATGTATATATAGTTCGTATAGAATCCTTCCGGCTGAAGAATGATTGCCCACCTATTGTTTGTTGTTAAAGAATAGGGTGTTACTAAAGACAGGAATGAAATGGAGAATAATATGGTACAATATTCATGCAAATTTTCTTTGGTTTGTTACATTCAGGAGCACATTTTAACAGCTGCTTTCATTATTCCTTAATACTATAGTTAAAATATTAACTTATGTTTTATCAGCATGATGTTTCTATTTAAAAACTCCCATATCTCTCAAAATCCAACCTTTGCTTCCCCAATATTTAGAATTTTAAAATTAGTTATAATGACAATGAGTTCCTTTCTTGGGGAATTAATGTAAAGTGTCATTGTTAAATGTTGATACTTCACATTGCTACTAAAAGTTCTAGAAGATGGTTCAGCTTTTTGACCAATCAGAAGATGGAAGAAACTCTATATAACTATATAGCAATCAAGGTAATTAATGGCTATATGTACCAGAAGACTTGCATATAAAACAACAAGACTATTATAATAACCATGAAGAGAATTAAGAAAGAAAAATAACCTTTCCATGAAGGTAGATCCTTAGGTAGCTGCAGATTTAGAACCAATTTTAAATTAGAAGTATACTTTTTTCTTGCACTTTATCCCTTCTTAAATACTAAGACATTTTCATTACTTTCCTCAGAATGTGCCAGTCATTTTATTATCAAGTTATTTTTTTAAATATTTTTTTCAACTACTATATAGTTTCATTTCTCTCTCCATCTTCCTTTCTTTCTTTGACCTGTAATTTTTATTATGTCTCTAAACCAGGATAGTTTTTAGCACTACTACAAATTATAACAATTACTCACATTACATAATGCAATATAATCCAGAAAAAAGCCTATAAATACCAACTTTGGTACTTCAAGGGCTAGTCTTAAAAATATGAATAAAATTTATATTACATTAGCTGGCAGACTGTTCCTACTACATTTATCATAAAATAAAATAAATGTCCATCATAAAATGGATAAAATCTCCAAATACCGATCTATATTACAGCCACAGTTAATCAGAAATGGTGTGTGTGTGTGAAATTTGTTACTTGTTTCAAGAAAACATTAATTTTTCCTACGTAATCTGCCCATTCTGTCCAAAAGTAACACCTCCCCACCATAAGCAAGGACAGTGGCACTTGTAAGACCTCAACCCCAAATATATTCGCTAAAGATGCAGAGGAAGGAAAGAGAGAGAGGTGTGCGGAAGTCATTCTGAATAGAGCAACCGTGCTTCGGATAAGCTTAGAAATGCACGAATTTGGAAAAGTGAATCGGTTCTGTAAGAAAGATCGGGATTGAAGCCTCCCCAGCGCTGACTTTTGGCAAGCCTTGAGGGAGGCTCAGCAGATGAGGAAAAGGCTTCTCCCCCCACCCACCCCTCCCTGCAAGGGTTGACGTGCCCATGACTCAGGACTTCTTCCCAGGGAAGCTCCCCCAAAGCAAAACGGGGACAAGGTGGGAGAAGGGCAACTGCAGCGCCCAGCAGCAGCAGCAGCAGCCCGAGTTCGGGTACCTAGTTTCTGGCCCAGGAAGGTCATGTTATGGTAGGCTTTTTCAGCCGCCGCCAGATGGGCCAGTCCTGCCAGGAGCGAAAGCCAACTGCTCCCGGCATTCTTATTGGCTTCGCGCTCCTTTTCCACGTTGTCCTTGGCCTTGTCGTAGGAGAAGATGCCTAAATGAGAGAAAAACGTCTCCAGCACCGCCTGCTCTACCGGGACTGGAGCTCCCACGGGCATCGGCTCCCCCATTCGCCGCCCGCCGCCGCGACTATCGCGGCTCCCTCCGCTCGCCATCCTTGGCGCCAAGCGAGAACCCCGGACCCCACAGGAACAACAGGCGCGAGCCCAACCCCTTCCCCCTTCAGGAGCCATTCCGGAGAGGCGGTTGGGAAAGGCTCAACCCCACGTGACTTATCGGGGACGGGAAGGGCGTGGCGACGAGGTGCCGGTGGAAGCGGCTGAATCAGCTGTTGGGTTAGGAGGGAGACCTTCTTCCGCGTGTACCCGAGGAAGGTCTTATCCATTTCGAATAGTAGCAAGAGCCGCGAGGGAGGACTAAACAGCTAATTAAGGTCACAGAGCTGAGCTTAACTCGGGCTTAGCGCTTATTTGGGAAACGCTGAAAAAGGCTGCTCAGCGAAAAGCCTTAAAATCAAACCCTGGTTGACTGTTTCAGTGCCTAACAAGCTTTTCTCCTGTGGAACAGCTTTTTCAGCGCTTCCATGATGGATGTTAACCCAAAAAGTTCATGTCTATGATCTTCATTAGTAACAGAGGTCTACTGAGCTTAGTTGCAGAGGAAAGGTATGAAGATTGGAGAAGACCGACAGATCTTTCCCCCTTGTTTGGCGGAATAGTGATTAGAAGGCATTCGAAGACTGCCCGCAGTTCCGCTCTCAAGGTTCACGCAGCCTTCCAGCCTGCCGAGATCGAGAAAATGAGAATACGGATTGTTGGGGGCAATATGCGGACTCTGTAAAGCACTGTGAAGCAGTAAGTCTTAAGTGCTAGTGCTATTCAGTTTGAAGACATGATTGTGCTTGCTTTTTGCAAATTCTAGAACTAGGGACATCAAAGTGGCAGGATCTATTTCCAGAACAAGCAGGACTTTAAGAAAAGTGTACCTGAAAGAAGTGTGACATCAACAAAGTTTTTCTCTGGGCTTTATCAGATCTGCTTTCAGTGTGTCAATGTGCCGTTTTCAGAATACAAAGAATTGCAATGATGCGATGGATTTTCCCAGTGAAGAGGGTCCAACATGATCTGATACACTTTCCAAGTCTTATTTCTCTATTGAGGCACATTTAATTCTAAAGAAGGTAGTACTATATTTTTTTTTTTGGAAAAAATGTGTTCAACATTGTGATTAAGTTTTCTGCAACTTTACTTAGCATGTTGCCAGACAGAAATTAAAATGCTTTTATAAAGTTGAAATTGCTTAATAAAATTGATGTAAACATGCCAGTGAACATTTATGCAAGATCTAAAATTCTTAGCACCTCAGCTTTCTGCATAATTAGGGTATAGTAGAGCTGGATCAGAATACACCATTCCAAGGTGATATACCAGAACAGGGGTCTTCAAACTTGACAGCTTTGACTTGTGGACTTCAACTCCCAGAATTCCTGGTCCAGTCATGTTAGCTCAGGAATTCTGGGAGCTGAAGTCCACAAGTCTTAAACTTGCCCAAGTTTAAAGACCCTTGTAGCAGAGTATTTTTGATGCATTTCATTTGCAAGTCAGAACCACCTCGACTTGATTATGTCCATTTGTCCCATCATGTATGACATGAGAAACATGCTATGGATTTTGTCAATTAGTGTCATCTGGCAAATGCCAGGAAGAGAGCCTTTTGTGTTATAGCATCTGCTTTGTGGAACATAATTCAGATTGGCCCTGAACCTGTTGACCTTTCCTAGAGCTGGAAGGATTGGTGTCAGAGCCTGTACAGCTATTGTGTTGATATTTGTCTTGGCTGCTAGTTAATGCTTGTTAAATGTTTTAAATATTTAAAACTGCTGCCATTCAAAGTCACACTAATGAGATGAGCCATTTAAATAAGAGTAGAATAAATATGGTTTAAAACACAATCGAATGTTCAAAAAAACTTTATTGATACATGGAACTTATCAATCAAGCCTACATTTAGAAGAATGTATTTGGCCTCTTGGTAGTGAAGCGTGGCCTATGCTGACGGCGCAACACTCTGTGTGGCAGAGGGAATTTAATTTTAGAATCCTGTAAAAAGAGATTACGTTTCATTATAAGCACAAATAAAATTTCATCAGTTTGGGTACTATTCAGAAAATTTTAAAAATGACACTTTCTAGTGAAAGCACATATATTTCTAATGTTAGTACCAAGCGATAATTTAATCTATGCAAAATAAAGGATGGACTTCTCAGAGCACAACTATAAAATGAATTTTTAAAACAAGGCAAGTGATTATATACTTTTTAAAGCAAGTATAATGCTAAACAGTAAGAAACTATCATTTTGGAAGTCTAAAAATGCTACATATTAAAACTCTATAGCATATTAGCATTTATAGTATTGAGTATGTGTATGTTAGCTTAATATCTCATTTTCTCTAGAAAATCAAATTGGTGCACAAAGCATTCTTCAGTTTTTTTCCAACAAACCTGCAGTAATTTGAGCTGAAAGATACGACCCAATTGTTCTGTAGTTACCTGAACAGCCTGTGATTACAAATTGATGGAGGAACTTCAATATATATGTGTTCAATCAATCTTCTTATAGTCATTGACCAAAATTATAAACAGTTTCATAAAGAAAGTAGAAAAATTTCAAATTATATCGTTTGAGAATACACACACTTAAAATTTGCTTTACTTACATGGAACTGTTTGACAGCAGGTCTGCGGCATTTGCTAGCAGCAATCTCTTCAACCTTCATGATCTGAATAGAATGAGCACGAGCTCTATGACGTGCTCCCATATCACGATCTGCAATTCATTGGTTGAATTATACATTTTAGCAAAAGAATTAGCTCTGATCTAAATACTTTTACCAATCGCCATATAGGAACAGTTATTAGTTGTAGAATCTTTAATTTCACTTTCAAAAACACTTCAGCTCTTGAAAGGCGACAAGAAACATTTAATATCTGCACACATGACAAGAACATTTTATTATAAACAATGCTCTTTGGGTTTGCATGCAGTTAAAAATTTCAAAACTAGTAATGATTTATGGTTCTGCCGTATAAGCTGAGCATACTGAATTAGAGAAGAATCAACAGGTTCTAGAAATGAAAAATGTAATAACTACATTCAATCATTTGTATCCAAAATATGTTTAGATTTTTTTTAATGAATTAATGAATGGCATGTTATTTATACTTTTTAAAATCAGGTGGACTTGAGTTTAAGGGAAGCTAAATATGCAATAAATATTTATATAGGAATTCAATTTTAAGCATTTATTTGGAAAGACTTAAGTTATATTGTGATGTAATCCTTGATACCTCTACCTTAAGATTGCCAATTTTAAGTGCTTTTCAAAGGAAGTATGTAGATCTTCAAACTTTTGAGTTTATTTTTACAAACTTTGTAACCTATTTAATCATATTATTGTATAAAATACTATGCACTGCTAGAAAGAAACCTATTAAAAACTAATGGGGGAAACTGGGGCAAGGGGAAATAAACAAACTTAGTAAAAAAAATTAAAAAATAACCAGAAATAAAACTAAACACACAAATTAAACTATTCAGATTATACAACTTCCTTTAATTTTAACATTTTTAACCAATTAATTAAACCTAGACCACAAATGATATTATCAATTCTTGCCTTTCTTTGTGAAGAAAGCTAATTTGAAAGCAGATAGTTGACTGATTTTTGTTAAAACAAGTTTTAACTTCTGGAGCACAAGTAGCTTCCAAGAATATATCATCACCCTTTTGCAGCAAATTCAACACCAATCTACCCAAAGTTCCTCACAGATTAAAAGATTCCAGTTTTAAGGATATTTAACAAAACACTGACATCTGTCGAAGAATGTGATTCAACATTAACAATCATAAAACTGAAAAGAAATTACAAGTGGACATGTCTATTTCATGTTTCTTTAAATTTATTACATATCCAGCATAAAAGAGGAACCTTTTCAAAGCATCCTTTGACTAACTCTACTAGCCCAATCAAAGGGTTTTTCTGAACTGAATGGAAGTTTAGGATATTAAAAACATATCTAATATTAAAGCCTGAAGCTACTAATTGAATATATATCTATACCAAATTTCTTGCATATTCTCCAAATTAATTTTTGAACTTTTTTGTTGCTTTGGCAATAATTGTCTAATACCAAAAAAGGCCTTCTGGGATATACTCACATGGGTTTTGAATTGATAGACAATTTGGATTTGAAGTAAATATCAGGAAGCTTAGTCAATAGTCTAAGCTAAGGAAAACATTACCTCTCTAAATGGCACTGTATAGAATAACTTATAGCACTCATAGGTAATCGTAACATGAGATATGAGTCTACCAAGTTTCAATATATAACACATTTCAACAATTCAATTTTAACATTGTCAGGTAGTCCTAGACTTACAACAGTCCATTTAGTGACCATTCAAAGTTACAACAGCACTGAAAAGTGATTATTGACCATTTTTCACTTACCCATGATCACATGATCAAAATTCAGACACTTGGCAACTGACTCATGACGGTTGCAGTGTTTCATGGTCATGTGATCATTTTTGCAATGTTCTGATATGCAAAGTCAATGGGAAAGCCATTCACTTAGCAACCATGTTAGTAACTTAACTGCAGTGATTCACTTAACAACTGGGGGGGGAGTCCTAAAATGGGGCAAATTTCACTTGACAACTGTCCCACTTAGCAACATACATTTTGAGCCTGATTGTGGCCATAAATCAAGGATTATCTATATTACCATTTGAGAGCCAACTTGGTGTAGTGGTAGTTAAAGCATTAGGCTAAAGAGCAGAAATCCCATGAAAGCCAACTGGGTTATCTCATGCCAGTCATTCTTTCTCAATCCTAGGAAAGTGATAATGACAACCCACTTCTGAAATCTTTCCAGGAAAATTGCCAGGACTTGTTGGGAGTCAAAACTGATTTAAAGGCACCCAAAATACCCCATCCCCCATTATTTACTATCTCCTAAGTTAAAAGTCAAAATACATTAGCTAGTAGTCAAAGTAATAGGAACATTATTGTAAAACCAATACTGAGGAATACCAATTCTTGCAACACTTTTCTTTTATGACAGCAATATCTTAAGATGATCTAATACTGAATGGCCTCTACTTACAGCACTGTGTAACAGCTCCAGCAGTTGTTAAATCCCTGTATTCCCTGTACATATTGTGAGTTCCACTACGAGAATCATAGCGCAGCCAAATACCAAAATTTTTCACCTTCAGAGGAGATTTCTCAAAAACCTAACAGTATAAAAATATCCATGTTAAAATAACAGAAAACTAATCAGTGTTTTAATTAGCATGTCAAGTCTAGAACCAACATCCTAAAGCTATAATCCAATTTCCATAGAATACATTAGATTTTCTCTGGATCAGAATAGACAGGGTAAAAAAACATACCCAAGATTACATGAATCTAATCCTGAAACAAACTGAAATCTTTATGCAGAAGTACTATGATTCTTTGCCCACCCACCCAAAGTGCTTTGTATTCAGCACACAAAAGATTGGTCCCATTTATTACTACTTCACCTATTTCATGGTCTGCTGTTGAGATTTCTCTCTATAAGCATATTGACCTATGGAAGGCCTCCTCAGATTGATTAATTAGCACAGGCACCACATAGAATCAACCTGTAGCTCTCTGAAGAAGCCAGGACTGGTTTGCTTTTCCAGCATTCTACCTAAAGTAGTGGTCAATTAGATGCCTCCACATGTTGGACATAAAATTGATGTATATTCAAAGTAAGGTTAAGAACTACCTTACTCTGCAATAGAATATTAGCAATGGATTGTACTAAGTTTAACCTGCTTTTACCTCTCTCTGCCAAATTCATTGAAAGAAATTTAAAAAGGGCACTCTTGGAAAAAAAATCTTTCCATACTGTTTCTAATTTTAAAAGAACTTTATAACTACTATCCTATCTCCAGGTCACAAAAACCAGCCACAATTTTTTATGTTTATCTTCAATAAACGGGTCATTCATTTCAAAAGAGTCATGAAATGAAATAGGATAAAGTAATTTAAATTTTTTATAAGTCATCAGTAATAGAAATTTTAAGACAAACTTTTTGAAAAAAGCATTTTGATCCAATCCGTATAGATACTCATAATTATTAGGGATAAGCAGTATTAGAAAATATGCTTTCAATATTTAAATCTATTCCACTTCCTATTACGATACCTGTCCACAGTATACAATTTCCCCAGAAGATTTTTTCATCTTCTTCAGTTGCGAGACAAAATACCAGAAACGGGACTTTGCAACAACATGGTTAGGAGCAAAGATGCGCATACGATAGAGAGGTGGTGTTGGACATTTGGGAGTAGGAAGGCATCTCCCAACAACTTTATACTCCCTCAGCTGAAAGGAGAAAAAGAGAAAGAAATATGAATAAAAATTCATTATAGTTTTAGAATCAAACCTGATCAAGAGATGCACTTATTACAAGAAAAAGGTGTTATTTAGCTGCTTTACTAGATCAAAGTAAACTCACGCCTCGCCAATGCTCTGTAAACTCAACTATAAAGATTTTCAATAATAATTACAGAGGTAGAACACATATTGTCTATTTGAAATCTCCTCGAGTTCAGTCTTGGAAACCGATACGAGGATGAGAGCGAAAAGAACCTAAGAATGACATGAGTAGGACGGCTCCAAGTGCATTTTCTTCTCAACTGATCTCGCTCTACTATATTACATTCTAGGTCCGGGAAAGATGTGGCGAGTTGAATCCGCCGACCTGAGCAGTCGACCCGGGCCCACGCTACAGGCATTAGCGCACGGGAGACGGCCATATTGGGTGCTCACTCGTGGCAGAGGAAAAAGACGACTGCAAGAAGGTTCCCGAATGGAGATTCCTTCCCCGCCTTTCTACCATTCTTTGCCTTGCTCGCATTCCTTCGTCCCCGCAGCAGCAGAGGTCTCCCCGCGCGAGACCCCCAGCAAGGCCACACGCGCAGCACTCACCGTACCCGACGCCTTCATGGTCTCGCTTCTCTCACGGCCGCCCAGAAAAGGAAGTTTCGCAGGCGCAGGACGCACACGTGACCATTGCCGACACGAAGTACCGCCTTGCCTAAGAGCGGCTACCGACTATTGGACTTAAGGAGCACGTTCTTATTGGATGGAGGACATGTCTGTCCTTAAAAAGCCCGGTTTTACCATCTTCTAATCGCCCAAGCGCCTTTCAGGCGGCGATTTAAAGCTTTTATTCGTCTCTAATCGAGTTTGGACGGGCGTGTTTTTTTTCTTCATGGTTAATGAACCGCTTTGGTGACTTCTGAAGACCGACAATGCTATTGTTTTCCCTGGTTTGTTTGCTGCTTACTATAGTGTAGCTTAAGCAGCTAAAAATAGCCTTATTCCTACATAATATGAAGGATTTCTGAATACGCCACAGTCAACGGTGCTTGGAGCACGCCTTTGCCTAGGTTTTTTCGCAGACCGTCAGTCGGGGGAAGCGAAGGCAATGGTGTGTTCGCTAACAAGCTGCGAATAGATTGGAAGCGACCAGGCAGGCTTGCATTCCACAAGCCGCTGTGGAAGTGAAAGCTGGGTTATGCGACAGCCAGCGTGGTGCAACCGCAAAGTTCACTGGGCAATTCGGGGCGAATTACTCTGACTCTCCTAGCCTAATTCATGGTGTTGTGGGGAAATATTGGAGGGAACACGATGCTTCTCAAAGGCCTTGACGGAAAGATGGTATATCAATGTAATAAATGCATCATTTGGAAACGTTTGCATAGCTTTCTCTCCTGAACGAATCCCAGAGTCCAGTCATAAACTGCCAGTAGACTCATTATTTGAGAAGAGTGAGGCCTAAAGATAACTGTATAACTAGAATGCTGTTTCTAATAAAAAAAATCTGCATTACAGCCTTTTCCAGAGAGCTAGGTCTTTGTATAATGCATCCAAAGTAGGATAATGATTTAAGCTGGGTCGTTGAGTAAGAAATGGGTTGATGTGTTCAGTGATCTATTTGTTTTTTAGGCTGTCCATAGTATTCTAGTGAGACTTCTCCAACACCAGAAGAGTTTTGGTACGCTTCCTATCCTGCTTTTTCAAAATCCAACTTTCCCTATAGTATTATACTATAATATACCCAGTTGTTGGCTCTAGATATGCCACAGAAAATGAACAATCCTATGAGAAAAGCAAATATGCCACATCCAGCAGGAATCTATCACCTCATCAATAACTAGCTTATTAGATGATCTAATTTAATTGGAATCCAAATGTAAATGCAATTTGAATATAATTGATAACATATGGAGAGATCTTTGGACTTGTAATTATAATTTAGTCAGTATTAAAATATACCAAGAGTTTACTGCATTCCTGATAACACTGAATCACTTATCCACTGACTTTTGGTGAATGTACTTTAATTAACTTGGAAATCTAAATCCAACTGAGTGTGATGGGGTGCATTTTGCCCAGTCTAAAGTATGTGTGTGTATAGATGGATACAGACAGACAGACAGACAGACAGATAGATAGATAGGCATTTTTAGTTCTGTGCTTAATTTTTCTTCACTTCTGATATTTATGTAGGAAAAGATCTATATTCACTCTGTCATTTACCTTTTTTGGATTTTTTGTGCAGATAAGGAATTGGGAATGAAGACAATTAGCCTATGCTTTTATTTAGGTGATAGATGGATGAGCTGGCTCCTGATCTGTTAATATGGAATTAACAAAGCAGGAGTGTATCTACAGGAATATATCTTATAATACTGTAGGAAGGAGCTTTACCTCTCAACAATACTTAGAAGTACTATAAACTTCCTTATTGAAGATTTGTACCAGCCTCGTATTGCTTTATTTTCCGACTAAAGCTCCAGGCACGAATTTGTTTTACATTAGTTTTAGGCTGTAATTGTACGTACACCATATTGGGAGTGAAACCCATGGAAATAATCTGATAGGTTAACGATTGCATTAATTCAGTACTTTCTTCCAGGAAAGTTTACGTGGACATTGCATTTAAAGACTGAAGCCAATTAAATGAGCGCTTTACAGAACTACAATTCCCAGCATCCCATGATATTTAAACAGAAGTTATGTGTAGCGCTGGCATATTCCAAGTATGTCAGTTGTCTGCCAGTCGATGAAAAGTAGGGGAGCTAAAACGATTCAACGCGAGAGATTTTTTTCATTCAAGACCAACGTAGTGATTGGGCATAGCTAAAGATCTGGCCATTGATAGGAACGCAAAGCGAATAGAAAGGCTGGGGAAAAAACTCGTCTTTTCTATCTTAGGCAGCAGCTCGAGAACTATGCTTCCCGTCATGAGTTGCGCCTAAGCAGAAAGCCTTTTTCCCAGTATGCAACGCGTTTTCTTCCCCTGATTGGCGAACTTAAAGTAAGGATCGAAAAACCTGTTTCTAGCTTCCAGAATTTCTCTGAGGCGGTTTATTGCCTGGCGAATCTCGGGTTTGGTGTCGCGGAGTATGCTGGGTGATGTAGTTCGGGAATTGGATCAGTTTCCCGAGCGGAACTGTGTGAAAAGAGATCGGGGTGCTGCGGAACCCCCCAGAGGCGCGTCAGCTGTGTTGCGTGTTTCCTGGCGGAGCGGCAAGTGTGCCGCGGGTGGCCTTCCCTGGCTTCCTCTGCCTGGGCCCCCTGTTTTGTAGCGGCCTCCCAATCGTGCGAGAAGGCAAAGCCCTCCTTAATGGAATAGCTGGGAAGGTAATGAAATGGGCACGGGGTCTGTTGGAGGGCTGAGGGCGCTTCCAGGGTGGCTGTATTTGCAAACTCAGGAGGGGACGGGGACTACCCAACTTTTCTTTAAATGCAGAAATCGCTTGGCCCAGGAGGCCCCAGGGTGCAGTGGCGTGGCCGCCTCGTGTTTTAAGTCCCGTGATCAAGCTTGAAGGTTGTGCTTTGGGGATGGATCCCCCTTTTCTTAGGACCTTACTAACCTAAAGCCGCATAGATTACCTCCTATCCCTTGGCCCGTGCCTCATTGCCCTTCATTTCGTCCCGTGCTGCGTCTGCTCAAGTATTTTCTGGCTCTTTCCTCGACTTGGGGCTCTACTAAGGTTCTGGCTTGTTACCTTCCAAAATTCTTAGCCAGCTGCCTGGAAAGTCTAAGATTAATTATCCCAAAGAAAGATCTGTGCTTGAGGAAGAGACCTATGTAGAATAGCCATCAATTTCCCAGTGATCAGCCCACTTTTATCACTACCAATACCAGACGGTATTCTAATGGGGAAAATAAATTATTTGTGCATTACAATGAAAAGCAGATTTTTCTTTTACTTGATAACTGAAACGTAGTTTCTGTCTCATAGTCTTCTGTTGCTTTCTTCTTGGGTCACCTACCTTTCTTAATTGGCAATCAACTTTATTTCATGATAAATATGCCCATGTTCATCTGAATTGACAATGAAAATTGTTTGACATAATATATATGCAAGTCATTTCCTGATAGTTCAGCCAAATGGTGAATGGGAACATAGATAAAATAAAGATAGCAGTTCAAGAAGTAATAAATATGCTTATCTAAAAGTCACTGAAAAGTATTCAAAAATTAGCCAACAACCCTGCCAATATGTACAGAAAGGCATCTTCATTCACATCCTTATATTCCTCTGGTGTTGCCATAAGCATTTTTATTATTTACTCCTCTTGTATTCCAAAATTGAATCTTCTATGTGTGATCACTATTATCAGATTGGCTCAAAGACATTTTATGTCCCTAATGGTTTTTTCAATTGAGGATTTCACTTCATGCATTTCAGTAAAATAGAAAAGGTGAGACCTAGTTACCAGCCTTAGTGGTATCTGTGTCACATGCAGCATTCCTGCTAACTCTTAAGGATAATTCTGCACACATTTTGACCAATCTGTCACAAGTGAAAAGCCATTTCACTTCAAGCATAGTTGTTCTATGCAAAGTAGTTATTTAATCTATTCAGTACTTTGGAAGCTAAGATCCTGTTATTCATAAGTCATAATCTAGAATATATATGCAGTGTACTAATAGATACTTAAATATAAGATTTTTCTTGGTGATATTTTCAAATAGAACAACAATAGCAATAGCAGTTAGACTTATGTACCACTTTATAGTGCTTTACAGCCCTCTCTAAGTGGTTTACAGAGTCAGCATATTGCCCCCAACAATCTGGGTCCTCATTTTACCCACCTCAGAAGGAAGGAAGGCTGAGTCAACCTTGAGCCTGGTGAGATTAGAACTGCCAAATTGCAGGTATCTGGCAGTCAGCAGACAAAACTCTTTTTCTACTTTATCCACATCTACATTAGCAATAACTTGCTGTATCACAGAAAGTCAGATATTTATGTTAATTGACTAATTTATTATGACAAAAATGTATGACATAGTTCATTTCATCAATCACAACCTAATTACACAAACTTGTGATTTTGAGAAGATTGTAAATAGTGAATGATAATGAAATGTAGTAAAAAATTGTTATGTATTACTTTATTTAGTGACAATTTGAAAATTGATAAATACAATAATTGTACTTGTATATTTATAATGCATTCTGCCATTGGTGATGCTTATTAGTACATAGTGAGTTCCTAAACTACATTAAATTATAATTTGTTTAATCATTGATTGATAATTCATAATTCAATGATTTACAAATTATAAGTGATAAATAATGGTTTACAAATTATAGCACATGGGTTTGCAAAAATCAAACAAACCACATTATACAATAACTAATTTGAAGTGTGGACCCAGCAATAATATAAATGGAACAACTATCCTAGTTGAAGCTTTAGAATAAGGGTCTTCAAACTTGGCAAGTTTAAGACTTGTGGACTTCAACTCCCAGAATTCTTTAGCTAACTGGAGGAGGGATTCTGGGAGTTGAAGTCCACAAGTCTTAAAGCTGTCAAGTTTGAAGACCCCTGCTTTAGAAGATAGAAATTTCTTTATTCATTGTCACACACACACAAAACACAATTTATATATATAAATATAGGTGGTTCCTGATTTTCTGTTATCATTGGCAGCAGAAAAGCAGTGAACTAATTCCA